CATATGCAGAGTGTGTCTTTTGCCTGTTAGTATTTTGTTCCAATCTTCAAGAATCTCTGCTAGGAAGAGTTTTTCTATCTTTATGACATGAGATGTGGAAATGACTTGGACATTCAATGTTAGATATTTTGAGAGATCCAAAGGTACCCAAAACTTATTGATAGCATAGTGTTTGTTGTTTTGTGAATTGTAAGCAATGTATAATGTGTCAATCAATGGGTGGACGCATTTCAGAATTAATAAAAGCAAATCAGGCATTTTCCGATCGAGTTCATTGGCATGGGTTTAAACTTTGCTCAGAGAGTAGATGTGCATTTATTGATTGGTTTAATAGGTTTCAGCACAAAGTATAGATCACTTCTAGGTGTTTTATCTAATTGTAGTTCCATACCTATGGTTATTTTTGTGACAGATAAGTTTTTTTTTGTCATTATATGCAGAATTATTAGTTTTTAGGATATTATTTTGTAATTTTGTAGGCTGTTTTCCCTGATTTTGATTTCTTTAACTTTGAACTGCTATATATTTTGATTTAAAAGTCTAGATAATCACAAATATCCTCTAGAAAACTAACCGGTTTATGTAAAATGACAAAAAATAACTACAGGGTACTAAACTAAAAAAAGTCCTGTAGGAATTGAAATGCAATTAGACTAAACAATTTAGGGTGAAACTGTATTGCACCCATTTAATCTGTAGGAGTCATAAATCTACTGTTTAGGTTTTCCAAGAGTTTAATCCTCTGCATTTGGTATTTCAACTGAACCATCCATGTCATTGTGAGATTAAAATCAAATGTTATCTAAGACTAATTCTGTGATGGTTATTTTATTATCAGCAATTAATTAAAAGTTTAAAACATGATCTTTTTTTCAAGATGATTTCTGTCTAACAGTGTTTTAGAACTGATGCGGTTATCTGCTGATATAGAACTGACATAAACTCTTATTGCTGAGAAATGAATGATCCAGTTAACATATCAAACGGGGAGAACTGTTATCTGATTACCTAGGCAAAGTGTCGTGCACAATACTTGATTAATCTAGCTGATGTTGTGAACTAAACTTTCTAGTGCTACTCTTGCAGTTGGGTCCCCTGGTTAATCAGACAATGCCAATTGTAGAAGCATCTCCAGTGAACTCGATTGTGAGAAGTGTCACAGGTGAATCACATCCTGGACAAATGTGGTGCTTATGCTAATGTAGTTGTAAACTTTTGGGGCTTTGCCTTTTCAGTTAGTTAGCTTAGATGGTAATGTTTCAAATTCCTCTTTATATATGCAATATAGGCTTTTTTTACAGTCCATTCGGTTGCACAGGAGATTTATGATATTCTTCTCCTTTCTGCTTCACATAGGCCAATATCCTCTATGAAAGCATAGGCTATTGTATCTGTAATCAATCCAAGAGCCCTAACATAATTTCACAGTTTGTTCAGTTAAATTCAATTTCTAGGATAGTTTCAATTGTCCCATGTTAAGTGTACGATCTCTACTTTTCTGAAAAGGAAATAGGTAGTTTTCCCAAATAGCTAGTATCTTCTCTGTTGAGTCTAAACACAAAAATACTGTTTGTCTCTTGTATGCTTCAACTTACAATTGGCTAATTGCTAAAAATATACAGGTGATGCATGGAAATTTCTACTTGAGACAGCTGGAGCAATTATTCTAAATAATGATCAGGAAGCTATCACTTCTCTGAATAAGTTTGTTGATCAGCTCCCATCAGTTTTTGATCAGGTGTTTTAATCTGTCTTCGACTTGTGACTAAATGTATTAGGCATGGAATTTGATTGCCTCTACAGTGGCCCTACTTAATCCCATCTTCTCACCGAAGTTATAATGTTGATTTCAATTGTTTGGATTTATTCAAATGGAAGCATAATGATCTGTTCAGCAGACATTTGCTTTATATTTGATTCATGCTTATTCTATTTTCATTCAATTCTTAAATCTTAATTACTTGATATTTAGAAATTAGTTATAACTTAATAGTTGATGTATGATTGAATCAGTTCCCCTCACATCTTTAATTTCACAAGATGGATTTGTATTTCAGTTGTCAAGGAAGAAATTGCATAAACACCTAACTGCAGGATATCAAAATTAATTTGGATAAAATGTCAATTTTCATTCAAATTTCTATCTTATTGGTAATATTTTCTCATTCTTATTTTATAGAATTGAAACTTGAACCAAATTCAAAATTAATTATTTCCTCTGTAGTTGAAGCCCCAATTGATTACCAGTTGGGGAAGTTCTATTGGCTTGAGAAACAGTTTTCCTCTCTTTTTTTTCTTAATTTTATATTTTTAACACTGTTGATTAGTAGTTTTTTTGGGATTACTTCCTAATACATGCAGCAAATTTATAGGTCAGGCAGGGGGTATCAGAGTTTAGCCCAAGACCTTCTGAGAATCGTGATTGTTTTAAGAAGTCCTACAATGTTCAACACACACTACTGGTACATATGATACACTGGATATTCTGTAGTTAGTGATTAAAGGGTGTGAATAGTTTTGACAATATTTGTCTGTATATGCTATTTCTTTAGGTGAAGTTTAGCTTCGACACGATTGATGAGACAGATCTTCTTGAAGAAACGCTGAGGCCTCGTGTGGAGTCCATTGGTGGAACACTTGAGAAGGTTCAATTAAGTGGCAATCATATTACACCATGTGTGCAGGTAATGCATATAAACTTTTCCCATATGCTTTTTCTCTTTTGGTGACCCAGCCTACTCAGTGTTTAAGGGTTGGGAGTGTAAAATTTGGTTCCATGTGGAAAAATACCTCTCTTCTGGGCATGCTAGTGTAGGAATGGACAACTTTCACTATTTTGGCAATTTACTAGTTAAAATTCTTCCGGCAAATTAAAAATTAAGCTGAGTGAACCTTCTTTCCCCTCTCTCAACTTCTCAACCTTTTTCCTTGAAAGAAAAGCAGCCCTTAGCCTTTGCCACAGAGTTTTCATAAACTAATGTTCAGAGGAAAGATGAAATGTGCCCTTCCTCTTTCTCATGTTAAAAGTATATGTTGATTAAGGTGAGGTGGGACTCTCTCTTTATTGTCTTAAAATTATATGTTGGGTAAGTTTTTAACAGAATATTCTAGAGGAATAACTGTATTCACTCAAACTCCAACAGAATATTCTGGAGGAATGTCTGTTTAACTAAAAGTTCATGCAGGTCTTTATAGTAGCATCAGAGTAGGATTTTGTTCTGCATTTTTCTTAGGGGACATCCATCATTCGCGCATATAGTGGGTCGCCATCATTACAGTGGGAACCCTGAGTTTTATTTTCCTCCCTTATTTTTATGTGGATGTTGATGTATATGACTTGTCCCAAAATATAGGTCTTATATAATGCATGGCAAACTGGCAATCTTTTGGGCTGCTGTACTGTGTAAAATATAATATAAATAGGAAGAAAATCTTTTTCTATCGGCTTAAGATTTATAATAATGAATTATCTAACTCTCTTATTTGACACTGTATCAGGATTATCCTAATTCAACCTTTTTTCTCTCCTCTATTTACTTATCCTTAGCTCAATATCGTGATGAACTAAAAAAATCCTGCATAGCATGTGAGGGAGCGTGTTTCTCCCCTCCTACTATTATTCTTAAGAGGAGGAAGTTTTACATTATTTGAACAACAACATCATTTTAATTTCTGAATGGAAAACTTCAAACTTCAAACTTCAAATTGATAAGTATGGTCATCCATCCCTGACATAAATATTTCTTCTTGGCTGCCCAGGAACTCAAGTGGCAAGTTGGTTATTTATATACCCCAGCAGATGCTATTGCTCAGGGACTCAAGACTCTTTCTCTAAATGAAACTAGAGCCCTTGCCAGAACCATCAGTAATTGGTTCAAGCACTTTGAGGATTGAAGTGCTAGATTCTTTGAAATCTTAGATTTTTGACTTTTTATTATAAATACAGATCAAGACATTGGGATACACACACATATTGCTATACACGTAGATGTCCTTTAAGTTTTGATACCATACCCATTCCGTAGAACCACTTTCCATGCCTAAAATAAGGATCTTCACCCGGAATTTATTTGTATGTCAGGCAAGGTCTTGTGTGCTATAAAGCAATAGAGAACACTGCCTCTGATTCACGGTTGTGGATGTTGTCTGCAAAGTGTTTTCTCTACTTTACTGGAATTTTGGAACGATTAACTGTCCATGTTTATACCAATTTAACCTCTAGCACAGACCAGTGTGCTGTTTTTATGAGATGTTAACTTGTGATTGGAAGGGAAATGACCAATTTCCTACAAACAGTACCTGGAATACCATCAGGGATATGAAGATGACAAGCAGGTGGAGCTCAGAGGCTCTGATCCAGAGCTCAGTTTCATTAATTCTTTACTGACATGCTTTATGAGAAGCTTTTAAGGATGCATTTAGGATCTGTTTGGTATATTGAATGTAAGGATGGAAATGCAGAAACTCTTTTATAGAAAATTGAATTAGTCTATAAAAAAAAAAAATTGTGATATTTTAAGCTGTATGATTTGTATATTGGAACAGTCATTTAATTTCTAGTATTTGGGTCGAAACTGAAATAAGACTAGATAGGAAGAGACACTACTTTTAACTGTTTCATTTATCAGTAATTGCTTGATAAATATGATAGTTATTATTTTTATTAATTTTATAATATTGTAAATTCGAGTTGGACTATGTGTGTCTACGTTAGAATGGAATGTTGGTTGTTAGAATATTAATTTTGTTATTATATTAAAAATTACATCTAAAACATAAATTTTTTAAAAAAACTCAAAAACAAATATAAAAGTTATTTTGTAATTTTTGAATATTAAATATATTTAAATAAAAATTGAATTAAATAGGGTTTTGTAAACACCTATTTCTAGTTTATAGAGATCAGATAAAGGGGAGACTTGAACTAATTTAAGTTGTTAGTTCTTCATTTAGAAGGTGTAGTATTTTACATGAATCATTTATTCTTGAGACTTTTAATATCAAGTAAATTTATGTGAAGGGGGGGATATGAATTTCAACATTGTTGATCAGTTCATCTTATTACATTCTTAGATATTAATATGCAAGGACACTACTAGGAAGTCTCTGACTAGTTCTCTCTTCCTTTTTTTTCTTCTTCTTCTTCTTCTTTGTCTTGCAAAATCTTTTGATCTCCCCAATATCCAAGAAGCAAACAGCCACTGCTCTTCCTTGGCCGCTGAAGCTGAATATCCAGCACTTGCAAGAGCCACAAGCAAAGTTATTTGAATTCAACAGTTGTCATCAGACTTTGGCATCCAGTCCGTTGATCCTACCTTGATTTTCTGTAACAATCAGACAGCTCTACCTCTAGCTTCCAATCTTCCGTTAACGTACCAAGCTCTTCCGTGATGACATCAATGCTGGTCGTGTCAAGCTTCGACTATATGATCCCACCACCAGCTTGCAGATCTTTTTACCAAACCTCTGTCTCCTAATCTTTTTCCTTAATCGTTCAAGATGTATGTTCATGACATTTATCATCCATCTTGAGGGGGAAGTATTGTAGTTCGTTAAATTTAATTAATTAACTTAATCTTCTCACTTACCATATATATAAATGAATAAGACTGTCTTGTACAGTGGAATCAATTTATACCCACAGCAATAAAATTACGAAAATATGACCTCAACACCACTGTTAACAATGCAAAACCAAATTGAGTGTTACAGATTTATCACTTTCAAGCCGTAGAATACAAAAAAGAAAAAAACAGAGACACAGAGAAATTTAGACTCAATGATGAATTACATCAATTTTTTCTTTCTTTTTCTCTCAAAAAGGGAAGAAGAAAAAATGGTAGAAAATTTGTCCATGAAGAGAATTGAAGACGAAAAGTGTATTAAGGTGTTTTTCGGTTTATGCGGCTGCGGCCTTGACTTTCTCAATGAGGTCTGCGGCGTCTTGAACCGTCGCAATATTCTCTGCTCCACCTTCTCCAATTGACACCCCAAATTGTTCTTCCAAAGCCATCATTATCTCCACCTAAACATCACCATTTCACTTTTATACACACATATTTACACGCATACATACATATGTATACACACACACACACACACATGCACATATATATATATATATATATATCATATGTATTACCGTGTCAAGGGAGTCAGCGCCCAAGTCAGCAAACTTGGTGTCAGGACTGACGGAGCTATCATCAATAGATAATTGCTTTGCAATGATGCTTTTCACCGTTTGTAGTGTCTCAGGTTTAGCCTACTCCATTCATTAATTAGAAAACTACTAATACATTGATTACATATTAAAA